ACTGGACAAGGAAGCAAAACAAATGGGTCTGGTAGTGAAAGAGGGCAAGGCGAAATATGTCATCAAACAAAAACTGGCGTCGCACTCGTGACTTGGCATTCACGAGACTGTTGACAGTCATGGCTTTGAAATTATATATAATTTCGTCTATCTTGGAACCAGCGTAAACACCACCAACAATGTCAGCCTGGCAATCCAACGCAGGATAACTCTTGCCAACAGGTGCTACTTCGGACTGAGTAGGCAATTGAGAAGCAAAGTTCTCTATCGACGAACAAAAACCAAATTCTATAAGTCACTCATAATTCCCACCCTGATATATGGTGCAGAGGCTTGGACGATGACATTAACTGCCAGCTTCTGGAGAAAATAATTCCAGCTGCAGAACATAATCGAGCAGGTGTAAGGTAAAATGTAATGTTATTTAAGAAAATAATACATCACTTATTGTATTAGATCACGGAAATATAATTATTGATGGAGATCATTTGTGTAACAGATAACGTGTTAACAGTCCAAACCTATTACAATTTAATCGCAGTACTAATTTAGATGAAAAGCTATATTTCAATCACGATCAGGAAATGAAATTTGTAATTCATTCTCTCCAAGATGAACAATTAGAAGTGCTAGAAATATTAACCTGCAACTCAGGTTATACATTTTCAAATATTCAAAAAGTGTATAGATACATAATTCCTACTCGTATTGAAAAACAACCAGGAAAGTTTATAATGTACCTAATACTTATAGTGAATGAAAATTTTAAAAAAAATTGTGATTCAGAAGGAATTATACATCAAAAAACATCACCATATACACCTGAGCAAAATGGTGTTGCTGAGAGACTAAATAGAACAATCATTGAAAAAAGTGCGGTGTATGTTAATTGATTCTGGTTTACATAAAAAGTTTTGGGCAGAGGCGGCGAATACTGCTGCCTATATATTAAATAGAGTTCCGTTCGGGTCAAACGCAAAAAGTATGAAATGTGGACTGGTAAAAAACCTAACATAAAATTTTTAAAAGTGTTTGGATGTAAAGCCATGATGCATATGCCAAGTGAAAAGCGAAAGAAGCTGGATGATAAATCGGTTGAATGCATAATGATGGGTTATTGTAATGTTTCCAAAGCATATAGACTGTTCAATCCGAAAACGCAAAATATTGTAATAAGTCGTCATGTTGTTGTTATTGAAACAAAAAATAAAAGTGAAATTGAAACGGACTATTGTTGTGAAATTCCTGACGGGTGTGAATCTTTCAACATTGATGATTCAGAAGAGGTAGAGAGTAAAGAATCGTCAATGATTGAAAACATGCAAACGGAATGTATTAACAAACGCGATAGTCAGTTAGTGAATAATAAGATAGACGCTGATTTATCTGAATATGAAAGTGCAAATGACGATGATGAAATTAAAGTTTCGGGCAATCATATCTTAAGGCGTTCGAAAAGAATAAAGAAATTCTGTCAACTACGATAAACGTGGTCGCAGGCGATTTTAATGCATGGTCGATGGAGTGGGTAGCATTTGCACAAATAGGCGTGGATATGCTCTACTAAAAAACCGATGAAAACCCATGGGGTGATGCTTATAAGCTGGTAATTCCGAAGCACCTACGTGCCGAGCGCTATTGAAAACCGTTGTGGAAACTCTATTCCCCGCACAGCCCCTAATAAATTGAACTGCTCGAGCGGAAGAACCTGTTAAAACGGAAGACACAATCTGTCCGACAACCAATATGATTGCGATTAAATAGTTTGCTGACATAACTAATAAGGACATAGAAGATTTCAGATGGGTGCAAGGTACAAAGGTATACTGCGCAGTTGTCCCGTTAGACGTTAAAAATTAGTTTAATTCGGCATATTGGCCCCATATCATAAGTACACTAGAGCGCAGCGAAACCCCGGCTTACTTAGTTGAGATCATATCCAGCTACCTGTCTGACCGGTTATTACTGTATGATACGGTTGACGGACTTCCACAAAGTTCTGCGCTTAGCTCATAGTTGTGGAACGGTTTGTTTTTGCTGCGTCTCCCACTCCCAAACCAGGTACAGATATCGGGTATGTGGACGATATTGCCATAACAGTAGTAGCAAGAGAATTTGTTCAACTTGAGAACCTCTGCAATCATGCGGCATCAACAATTAAAGAATTGCTCAGGGTAACAAACCTTCAACTCGCTGGGCAAAAAAACTGAAGCTGTGTGATACCATTTTTATTTCACACCATGTGTGCAGCATATATTGGAATTGCTTATCACTATTTGTTTATGCGTGGTTCAGCGTAAACAAGAGATGTTTTGGTTATTTCTGTTTAATGAAATGTTCATTAACTCACCCCTGTATTAAGATAAAATGTCTTCATTCCAAGTCACGTGGCAGAATAATCGTTGTTTTGTATCTTCTAGATATGCTAGATAGCATTCACATAATTTTAAAGCAACATAGATTAATAATTTAGCTTTATTAATTTAAAGAAGTACATTTTACTTTTTTTAAATATTCTTGACATATGTGCCCCAATCGTCTACGCCATAAATTATAATCGTCACAAGTACAGTAACACTGCTTTTAAAGGATGCACGCGTTTGCTTTCCTTTCACACATACTATGCATTTTTCCGTATTAATTTTTCCAAGGTGTATACCATCAAAAGTACATTTTACTTTTTTTAAATATTCTTGACATATGTGCCCCATTCGTCTATGCCATACATTATAATCGTCACAAGTATAAAATGCATTTTGACTTGGCGAATCACGATTGTACTCAATATTACAATTTAAACGATACAGATGATTTACAACATTTGCGGTGGCTATCAAATTATTGTCATTGTTGTAAATTTTGCATTCATCGCCTTCAAACGCTACTTTGTTTCCATTTTTCGTCATTTGTCGTACCGATAACAAATTTGCACATAACTCCGGCACATACTCAACGTTTTTTACAACAGCATTTGTCTTTATTTTATTAGCAAGTAAGCACATATTCCCGTCACCTTTTGAGTTAACTTTAATTACATTATTATTTGCAGTTATAATTTTTTTATTTTCTATCTTCACTTCATTTACAATCATTTCACGATTTTTTGTCATATGTGAAGTAGCACCCGAATCAACAAACCAATCATCTTTATTACGAATGTCATGAGATAGTAAAGATGCGAAAAGAATATTTTTGTTTTTTGTATTGTTATAATTTTGCTTAGTGTTATTAGGACAATTAGGACAAAAATGACCAATTTTTTTACACGAATGACATCGAAACTTATTAGAACTCACTTTCGAATTTAATTTTTTTTTTCGAATATAGTACATTCTCACCACTCTTCTTTGAATTATCAAACTTTACGTGTTGCAACAGAAGATTTTTTACACTATCGATGGTGAGTTTCTCTTTTGTATTTTCAACGGCAAGTACAAGTGGGCGATATTCGTCCGATAGAAATGCTAACATTAACGAAGCTGTCAGTTCATCGTCTATATTGAGGCCAGCGTTTTTGACTTTAAGTGACGTCATCACAACAGCATTCAAATATTCTTTTACTGTTGCATAGTCACTAAGCTTGCACTGCACTCATTACTTCAAAAGTTCTACCTTCCGCGTAAGATCCGTGTCTTCATATGCAGAGAACAATGCATTCCACGCTTGATATGCCGTTTCAGCTGTATCAATATGAGAGAAGTTATTCGGTTCTATCATTAATGTTATTTCAGCCAATGCACGCTCATTGCATTCTTTATCTTTCTCCGAAATTTCTACAGGTAGTTCTTTTTCAACTACCCTCCAGCAGTTTTTTATCACTAGATATGATTTCGTGTGGCGCTTCCAAATGTCAAAATTTTCACGCCCCTTCAATTTTTCCAACGGGAAAGCTACCGCGTTTGTCGCCATTTTTTCAAGCAACAAAATCCTAAATTATTTCGTTAAAAATAATCAATCCGCGTTCAATAGATACCAAAACGTTTACATTACACGATTCCCGATATATTTTCTTTTTATTATGTGGCCCATAACCTGTTAAAGTTATGATATAATTTAACACAATGGAATAAAACAACCTGTTTAGCGTGAAGTACAAACCGGAAGAGAGGGGACATATTTATTCATTAATTCAGCATAAACACATGATATTACAGAGTTGTATTTATTAGTACAAAGGGTTACTCTTTCTTTACTTCAACACAAATGATAAAATAAAATTTTCAAGAGCTCAAAGCATGCGCTACAATAGCTCGTACCTACCTACCCAACGCCTTTGCGCAAATGATTATTAGCAGAAACAGTCAAAAACACAGAATCGTGGGACGTGTCAGCTGATTCGACCTATCTTATGGGCGCGCAATGTAAGTGCCCAGTGAAAAACGCTACTCCCTTCCCTCTTTGACGTCGGATGACATGAGAACCTACAGCATTTTGGTTTTTGCCGTCTTAACGTGTCAGCTGATTGCTCTCTCACAACCCAGGGTTGCCAACATCTATAAACTGTAGTAATTATCAACTTTTATAATTCAATCTGTCAATATGTTTGAAATTTTCTTAAAATAACTCAAAATTGAAGTCGAATGCTATTATTTATAAATATTTAAACAATTTTTAATAGTTTGTTTCCAGTTTTGATATTTTATATTATAAAAAATTGTAATTGAAAACATAGATGTGTACAAAACTATATATGCGTATTGAGAAATGGTTACATTGTGCAAATGAAAACAAACAAAGATGGCTGAATTCTGCGTTTTTGCCACGTTTTTCACTGTTCACACATTTTGCAGATGAGGAAGGAAAAGGGAGGAAGGCAGTAGCGTTTTTGACTGTTCCTGCTATATATCATGCTAGCAAAATCCCACATTAAGATTTTACAATGGCAATAGCAATACTTTTGCAGTTAGTATTCTATAAATTCTATCCTGTTGAGATGCCCTGTAGGGTACGCGATTTATCGACGAATCTCTTACAATATCTATGAAAATAACAATCATCGATGTATATCGATCATCATTAGTGCTTTAGTAATTTACTTGTTAAGAAAAACATTATATGTTCGAGAGTTAAGATATGAGTTCTATGCATAGAGAGGGTGTTCAAAAACAAATACATCAAGACTGGGCGAATCGTGAATATATCGAAGTGATAACCGCAAGTATTAAGCGGATAACGGATTTCCTTAATTCATTTGGTTAGATACTAGTAATTGTTTTTCTTTTCTAATAACTTGATTGTCATATATTTCGTGATTATTGTTAGTGCACATACATATGCTGGGCATAAAAATATATTGTGGGTTGATTATAGAATAGAAGCGCCTGAATTCGATGTTAGAATTGGCATGTATGGTTGGGTGTGGGCACGATTTCGATTACTTTGGTGGAGGGGTAAAAAAAACCGAATTTCCGTATTGGTGGGGAGCTTCTCCAGAGGAGGAATATCCAAATATAGTAAAAAAATTACTTATATTTTTTAAAATTTTCACGATTAAAAGCTCAAAAATATGCACTAATAACACAAAGTATTCTTTTCTATTCTATCTTCCATTTAACTTATTCACGTTTTTCACTCTGTATATTTAAATATACACTCTAAACATTGAAATAAGTTCATATTTCAATTTTATTTTGTAATATTTCACCTAAATTTATTAATTTAAAAATCACTTAGCGAACTCGGCGTTGCAAAGGTTAGATTGTTTACAATTATGAAGAAACGAGCGTTGCCACATCTTAAACATATGTAATATGTAGGATTCTTAAGGAATTATCTTTGTTTGTTTTTTTGCGTGATTCTTTTTTCTACATTAGGCAGCACCGGTAGGTGGATAGAGGCCGTACTGCGCCCCAGAATTGATGAGACCACAGTAGGAGACACAAGGATTCGTCTTGGCACAACAAGAGGCTGCCCACAGGGGGGTGTGCTATCACCCCTGCTATGGAGACAATGGGATCCGCTGCCAGGGGTATGCGGGCGATATTGTCATTATAGCCAAAGGTAAATTCGAGGACATTGCGACCCTATACAAAGAGCTCTAAACCTGACAAAGGGGTGGTGTAGTGGGGTTGAATTGAATATCAACCCCTTCAAGACGACCGTAATCCCGTTCACGATATGCAGGTCCCTACCCGGTCTCAGGAACCTCACACTTGGGGGTAGAGAGATAGAGATGACCAACAAGGTAAATATCTCCGTCTCACGCTAGATTCTACTTTGCAGTGGAAGCGGCACGTAAACCTGACCTTGGTCAAAGCAACAAAAGCATTGTGTGTAAGCGGCTGGCGGGAAAGTCCTGGGGCTGCAAGCCAAGGATCGTACGAGGCGGTGGCCTCGGCCTCAATAGCGTTCCAGATTTCGGTAGGGACCCAAGTATCGAGGCATGATGGGCGCAATGCTCACTTGTCCAACGGCAGCACTGGAGGTCCTATTTAAACTCACACCGCTTCATTTCTTGATCGGCCAAGTAGCCAAGCACACACTTCTGCATATAGCGGCAGAGGGGTTTGACAAAGGCATTGTAATCTCGTCCCAGAGGAGTTAAGAGATAAGTGGCAATATACCACTAGTCTTCTTCCCGAAGGACAAGATTACCAAAACAGGTTCACGAAAAAGTTAACCCTCGGCAACAAGGATGAGTGGAACCACTCCACTCTCGAGCTGATGCTGAGGAATATTACGTTGAGGTGGTACACCGACGGCTCGAAAACGTCGGAGGTAATCGATGCTGGGATCGCGGGTCCACGCACCAATTTCTCCATACCTATGGGAGGATTTCTGAGCATTTTGCAAGCAGAAGTCTTTGTCATAAGTCGGTGCATAGAGATAAACCTCCATCGCAACTATCGCAATGAGCGGAAAATCGTACTTAGTGATAGTCAAGCGGCACTAAAAGCGATCTGCTCGTAGGAGATCAAATCGCTACTAGTACAGCAGTGTAGAGAATGGCTAAACAGCCTAGCGGAACAGAAACCGGTGCACCTAATCTGGGTGCCTGGTCACAGAGGTATAGCCGGTACCGAACTGGCTGATGAGCTCGCCCGCTCCGCAGCCTCCACAAATATGGTAGGACCTTAACCCTTTACTCGGGTGGGCCCCATACCTTAAAGGAAGGATGAAGGAGTGGGCAGAGAAAAGCATTGGCAACTAGTAAATGGTATGCGACATGAAAGGTAGCTAATTGGTGGGTACAACCTGAGTAGGTTAAAAGTTGTAATTAACCTCTCCAGGTATAAACTCAGGCTACTGGTCGCATTTTCTACCAGCCACTGCAAGCTGAATCGGCATTTATTTAACATGGGCCTATCTTCTTGCGCTAGCTGCCGGTTCTGCGACAAGGAGCCTGAAACACAACGAACCCAGCGTCTCGGATGTACTAGTAGTCGGCCGTCAGGACTATTGTCCCAATGTTCTGGCCCCCTACACCTAACTCTATAATCTAGAATCCTCTTGCTCCCTAGATATCCCTCGCTTTCCACATCATCGTCGGAAACAAAGTCTTTCCGCAGCAATGACACACTCAAGCCCCATCTTAACCTGAATGCAACTGCACGATGTATGGCAATCAGGTCAAAAGAAAGTGCACCTAACAAAACCTGCATAGCATCCGTTGTGAAAGTGTGACATACAGGCAAACAAACGAGCAAACAACACTCGAGTTGAGAGGAGTTTTTGAGACCCCAAGACAATCATGGCTGCTTCCCACCATACAACGGCTCCATATTTGACTTGCGTCACATATCTGACGCTGAACCCATTCATACGGAGAATCCGACAACGAACCGGTGACAATCTGCCCTTAAGCAGCATTGCCGCCACCGTTTTCTCCGTCGATATGTCAACCCCACACCTACATCCGAAGTATTCAAGATCTCTATTAGGTCTTTTCTCGTCCGCTCTAGTGCAGACCGCGAGCGACCTTCGAAGGTCGTCCGCATACGCACAAAACTTACAGAGTGGCTCAAGCTGTCCAAGCAGAGTGTCCATCATAAGGTTCCAAATACATGAACCACAAATGGAACCCAGCGGGCAGCCACGAACAACTACAATCTGCACACTCCACTCATGTGAAAAATAACCCTCCCATACACTTTTATTATAAATGGCGTCCAGGTATTCCGGAATGAACTTTCAAGAGCGCACCTAACAGAACCACCGCACACTCTTTCCTCTACGATAACAGAGTGTCACTGACGCGAAAAGAAGTGACATCCTCCCTCTTACAACCTCGGCAGATTCTATAGATCTGACCCACCAGGGGTCGTTCCTATTTTCCCTAACGAAGCTCCTCCAGTCTTCCTTTTTAACGTTCACTACAATTTCTTTGTATTCCCTATCCGCATTCATTCAAAATAAATTCATACCTATGCGCGGATAACCTACCAGAATTAAACCGTCGGGCGAATTAAGAATGCTATTTAGGCAATTCTAAAAATTATATATTTTACCAGGATATTACTCCTGGGTTTCTCTTTATTTAAAATAAGAGTATTATACAATACATCTGACTATATCTAAGGTTTATATTAAACTGAATTGAAGAACATACAGTGCGCGCGATACACTGTATTTATAGCTTTATACTGATGTAGCGTGGCGTGCTGTGATTGGTTGTATCTCCCTTTGTTTGATTGTTCACGTTGTATGTGCGTGATATGCTGTTGCTAGGTGATATTGTTACATATATATATTCTATATATATGTGAAGGTATTAACTCCCCACTCCTTTAATAAAAAGATCTCCTGCTCTTTTCCTTCATACTGCGGTGATGGCATCTTTCTTTATTAGATATTCCATTCCTTGTGATTTCAGGATTTGTTCATATTTCTTCTGCTGTTCTTCCTTTAACTTAAGTGTTTTACATTTTAATATGGCATAGGTTAACTTAAATCCTAAGTATGTCAGTACAATGATTACGCAGAGAGTAAATATAGCTATGCAAGTATTCCTTATCGGGTGTTCCTCGAATGGAATAATGAATTTGTGCAGTTTTTCTATGTTATTAAATTTATATTTTGATTCTGAGCTTAGTATGTCTAAAATTTCTATATTTTGATTTCCTTGAGATAAAATGTATTTTTTAATCTCCTCATCTTGATGGTGGAACGTTATGTCATTAATTTTTAAATTTTCCTTAAACTGTATCAAATAATTTTCGTTTAATGTTTCATTATTTACTTGGTTAAGTCCGTTTACTAATACATTACCTGAACTTATTTCTAATATATCTTCATTCTTTTCTTCTATCGTGTTGCATTGTGCTTATTATTTAGTAACATTGGAAGGGTGCACATATCTGGTTGTGTTTCTTTACAAATTAATTTTGACATGATGTTTTTACATTTGTCTATTCGTGTGATTTGGTGGTTACATTTGGCTATTTGTTTGTCCATTTGAATTTTTCCATGTCTGTATGAAATTGGTGTTATGTCATATGTTTCACATTTTTTATTGATTACAGGATATTTGTATACTATTATAAATGTATCCCCTATTCTACAAATATGAATATCTGCGTATTCCAATATATTTATTACCGGAACTTCGTTGTTTTCCAATTTCATAACTTGTTCTATGTCTTTCATATTCAGTGATGCTGAATAGAAATTTTTGTTTTTTGCGAAGTTAATCGTTAACGTAAGTATTGTAAAATCTTTATACATCTGAAGCATTGTTTGCGATTGGATTGTTTTATAGCTAAAGGTTTCTAAAAGTTTTTCAAAGTGCGTATTTATTAGTCGTTGTTTATTATTGTTTTCTATTATGTCGTTGATTTGAGTTTTAATCTATACCGCATCATCATGGTCTGGTACCCCTGTCACAAAACTAAGTATTGATCCTAGAAAATTAATACTTATTTTCTGCCTCCTAATTAATAATTGGTTTTTTAATACTTCTATTCTATTTATTAGTGCGAGATCTGCATGTTGGGTTTTCGCTGAAGTTGCCGATGAGTGTAATTCCTCGTAGTGTTGAAGTATTTTGGTTAGGTTTACCATATGGTATAGATAATCTGATTGAGTATAAACATCTAAAGGGTATGTCTCTGTTAAAACGAACTTCCTATCCTTCATTTTCGTTGTCACATATTGAATTGTTTTGTGGATTAGGGTTAGTATTATTAACGATAGGTAATACATTTCGAATGTTATCTTTGTGCACTAATTTGTTTTTCGTGGTTAAAACGGTATTTT